ATAAAATAAATTTCTCTAAAGATTAGGGTAAAGGAATTAAATTTTTATATTAATTGATTGTTTAATATACGTTTAGATATATTTTTCAATTAAATTTGGGACAGGACAGGCTCAGGCCTAAAATTTAAAATTATGGCTAGGCTCCTAAAAATAAAGATTTTGGATGGAGCTTTGGCCGAAATAAATAAAATTTGCAAGGCACTAAGAAAATTTTTTTATTTAAAACATTGAGCCAAACAGATAATTAGACCTCGGATTTATATTATTCTTTGACAAAGCATGCTTTAATTAGTGAGGGATTTAGTAAGGACTTGATAAGCATTTTTTGATAATAAATTTATATAAAGTTCTATTATTGTTTAATCAAAAAGACAAGGTCAAAGCTTATCACAACAAGACATGAAACAATATTCAGCATCATAGGTAGATTGTCGAATTGAATTATCCATCTCAGCACTAATTCGTGTAATCTCTGATCATGAAATTGCCACTATTGTGACTTAGGAATTGGGAAAAAAATAGATTATTGATTTCCTTAATTGATTCTTGCTAAGTTCTTGCTTCCTGACGAGTCTTTTTTCTAATTATGTGATCAAAGACAAAATTATATAAAAATGGATATAGAAATATAATAAATATAAGTAGCTAAAATTGAATGAATTGAACATGCCATATATTATTAAAAATAACTTAGCTATTTTAACACAAATTATAGTATATTTCCATTTCAGTTCAGTTGCTATATTTTATTAATCTGATGAATGTCATAAATTTTATTAGAGTGGCGATAATAATGATTGGACGTTACTATCATCGCTGAAGATGAGAAAATTTAATGGAATAAAATATTTACTTTGTGAGTTGTACTTCAAGGAGTAGATACAACCCTAAAAAATCGAAAGGTGGAAAATATCTCTTTTTTACATTTTCCATGCCTTTATATTTTTTTAAATGTGTATTCTTCAAGACTAAAAGAGGTTTAGAAAGATTTAAAATAAAAGTTTTAAAAGCAAGCATTGACGGATATTAAAATTAATTAAACGAGCTGAAGCGAACTTATCATTTATGATTCCACTTTTTACAGTAGAAAGCAAGGCCCTATAAAAAATATAAAAGAAAAGTAAGATAACTGTCTAAGGAAGCGTAGATAATGAAAATCCTTATGTTATGCTGAAAAATAAAAATATTGCTTTAATCATGAAAATTTTTTTATTATGAAACACCCACCCCTCCTCCCAACAGAAAAGTTTAAATAAATAATTAGCCCTAATGATACGAAGAAATTTAAATATTAATGATTATTATACCTGTTTATAACCAGATCTATAGACCGACTACCAATAATAAAAAGACGCTTAACCATTCAAACAATGTTAAACAGGACCTTTTCCAACAGGGGAAGGGGTTATAACTCATGATTGGCATTGAAATTAAAATGGGTAGTTTGTAATTGGAATTCCGTTGTTCTAATTTTGATGTGGTATAGGAAATGAGGAGAGTTGGTGAAGAAGGGGGTAGTATTATAATATATGATGAAAAATCTTTTGATAATTAGGTATTTGAAATAACTTCTAAGTGTAAAAGAGTTAGTAAAATATTGTGCAATCAGCTGCAAATATCAAGCTTCGATATTTTCTAAAGAAAGGCATTACAATGCGATGGAAATCAGTGTATAGCATGATACAAAGCTTCTTATAATCATATGATGAAATACAAGCTTGTCTGTGAACCAACCATATTTAAACAAATTGTTATCAATAAATATAATCCCTATGTAAATAAAAAATTTCCTATAAATATTAAAAGTCTGATCTTCGGAATGTTTAACAAGTTCAAAAAACCTATAAAAAACATTTTAAACTTTTTGATTCACCTTTCTCTACACTCCTAAGGAGTTTAGGCTTGTAATAAGAAATTTTTATTTTACTAAAATCAATTTAGAGAAAAAGTATATTATTTTAAATTTTGTCGATGTATAATTTTTAGGTAAGGGTTTGAACTATCATTTTGTATTTTGTAAATTCAGATACAAGGACCTATGACAATTTTGACAGAAATTGATCCAACCACCCCCTGGTCTTCCCTGCCTACCCTGTGAATATTAGACAGTACTCTAGTGATCTTTTAACTAAACTTAATTTTGGTAAGGCGATAGTTTGATGGGTACTGTTTTATTTTTTGTTATTATTTGTAATTAAAATCATTAATTGAGTGCGTTTTATTAAATTTAAAAATCTGATTTTGCCAGAAATTAACCTGAATAAGTGTAGAATGCCCACCCTTAATGTTGCGCAATCGGTTAATTTTAGGCAATTCCAAAAGGTTAGCCAAGTTTTAGGTTAAAAAATCGGCTAAGCATAATTAGGCATCGCATAAAAATAGGCGAAAACTAATTATTCAAAAATTAGGCATCGGCTAAGGAGCTCGGTTAATCGCCCGTCATATATCGTTGCATAATAAATATATAAAATAATTTTAATAAAGGTTAGGCTTAGTGTTGCGTAACGCTGACGGGCGATTAGCCTAGCTCCCAGTCCCTACATTTTGTCTAATTAGTTTTAGGCGATTTTTCGGTTAAGCCAAATTATGTTTAGCTGATTTTTAGGCTACTAACACTACTTATAAATTTCAGATTAATGTAAATTAAAATTTCTTTAGAGGTTCAATATAAGATCTTCTGAAATATATAGGGTGGGTATTCTACACATATTATAATGCATTTTCGGCAAAATCAGATTTAAAATTTAATAAAACGCGCTCAATTTATGATTTAAAATGAAAAAATAGAACAAAATAAAATTATTAAATACAAAAATATTTTGGCGCAATCGTATGAAATTCCCAGGGTAGATTCTCTTCGGAATTATATTAGGGAAATTATAAAAGCGCACTATAAATCAGAGACCTACAGGCCCGACCTTAAACCCGGGCCGTATTTAATTTTTTTAAATACACGGGCCTGGTCAAAAAAAGCTTTTTTTAAAAAACTCGGGCCGGGCCATATATTTTAAAACCAAATATTTTAAATCACCATTATTATCTAGGCAAATTAAAAACATATAATATATTTTTAAAAGATCGGGGCCGGGCCAAGCAGATTAAAATAATGCACAAAGCAACTAAATATTGACATAATTTAAGACAATTGGTGTAAGGCTGGCTTTGTTGCTAATAGTTTTTTTTTTAAATGGCTACTCTACTAGTTAAAGCAAAGCACTAATAGAAACTGATATAGAAGGAAACATTTTCATAATTTTAGCATTACTACTTCTAATTGTTCAGCGTACTTTAAAAAAAATAACAACAGGAAACTCAAAAATATTATCATAATTATTCTTAAGCAATACAAATCAGGAACGTGAATAATTTTTTTTAAGATTATTTTTTCCCTTTTTTTATTCAAGGGTTCCGAGAATTTATATGACGGCATCTGGCTTGTTTTTTTGAGAAAATTTATTTCTAAAATAATACTTAATTCATTTTCTATAAAATCATTCTCTATAAAATTCTATAAAATTATTCTCTATAAAATCCTTCTCTATAAAATAATTCTCTCTAAAACAATTCTCTGTAAAATATTTTCTATAAAATAATTCTCTGTAAAACAATTCTCTGTAAAATATTCTCTATAAAATCATTCTCTATAAACGACATTCTATACAATTGTTTTCTCTTTAAAAGTTTCACTATAAAATAAATTCTCTATAAAATCATTCTCTATAAACGAGATTCTCTATAAAATCATCCTCTATAAATGAGATTCTCTATAAACGACATTCTCTATAATTGTTTTCTCTTCAAAAGTTTCTCTATAAAATAAATTCTCTACAAAATCATTCTCTATAAACGATATTCTTTATAAACGACATTCTCTACAATTGTTTTCTCTATAAAAGATTCTCTGTAAAGATAAATTTGTATTTAGATTTTTTAATAAAATGCTATTTTGTCTAAAGATTTTTTTTATTTGCTATGTTTTTTATATTTTGTTATGTTTAGCAAGTTTTTAAAAATGTTTTATTTCCTTTGCAATCTTTTTATATTTTTAATTTGTTTTTTTTTAGATTTTTTTGCTATTTTCATAATCTTTTGTTAATTAATTATATTACTATGTTGTTTAATTATTTGCCAAGTTTAATAATATAAATTGGCATATCGATAAGTTATTATTACCGAGCCCGGTGCAACGTTATAAAACGATAGCTATATTAAAACGGTTGAAATTAACAATTTTGCACACATAATACTGCAATACTAACTTTCATAAATGACGACCTAGTAAAAGGACTGCAATTCTCAGATTTGCATGCCCGTAAGAATGTCTTCTAAACTTCGAAAAAAATATTTAATTTCAAAATTTCCTAATTAGAAAAACCAACACATATTCTAGCCGATACTCAGTATTGGTACATGTATTTGTGATCCCAGATTTTTATTTTATTTATTTATATATTGATAGACCATACATTGCTTCAATTTGATGGGTGATCTTTTTCGAGAACATTCTGATTTCTTCTATTTCAGTCAGGTTTATATACATATTTCCATATTTATTTATGATGGCATATTTACATAAATTACATCATAATTTAATAAAAACCCATCCATATATTTAACCCTTTATATTAATAATTCTTTGAAAAGAAAATATGCCTCTAAGACACCAGAGATTTATGTATTAAAATATTTATTATCTTTCAAAAACATAAAATAATAGTAAAATATATATATACAACATGTATATATTTTTTATAAATTTTTTTTAAAATCACTCTCAAAAAATGATACAAGTTTCAACACTAAAACTTAGTGTGGAAAGTTAAAAACAATTTTAATTTTATTAAGACAAAAGGGCAAATTATATGCCTAACATTGCCACTCAGAACAGACTTGATGTTTCGAGGTACTGCAATTGTGACATTTCCTTCGATTTTCCATCTAAAAGAAGATGGGAATCATTTATCTTCCTAGCTTGATTTAAAATATAAAATTATCTGGTCATGATAAAAGGAACTATTGCCACTAATAATATGGTTATCAAACACGCGGAGCATCCCACTCACAGTCTGTGGTTTACTCTAGCTTTTTAGGTGCCTACTATTACCTCGAGATATACGAGTGTATTCTTGGATTGCCACTGGATAATTTACTGTTATTATATTATCAGATTTCTCTTATTTCTGAATGATACAATATTTACATGTCTTAAAAATACAAATAATTAAGAGTGATCTTTATATTTTACGATTACTACATTTACTAATTTAAAATATTTGTAATTCTCCATTCATATGGAAGGCTTTAAATAATTGATGTCTATTATAATATGTTTACACAACCCAAAAAAGATACATTTAAAGCATATCAATTTTTGCTTATAAAATTATCTCTTTATTCCGGTTTATTAGACCAATAGTTGCTAAAAAGGAACAACTGCTTGATCTCAATTATTATACATATTCCTAAATATCTCCTCTAGAAATGTTTCCACATATCTAATATATTTAATATGAATAAAATAGAATAAATAAATTTATATGTAAATAATTAAGTTACCGCCATCTTTGGTTGTTCTATTAATATAATCGACTAATGCTTTTATAAATAGTGGACCAATAAACTCCTGAATAATATGCACAAACAAAAATAAAAATTTTTTTAGGCCATTACTTTTAGAAATACTTAAAAATAATGGGCGAAAAATGATAAATAGAAATGGCATAGTTAAAATTTATTAATCATAATAAATTATTTTAAAAAATGCACTCATATTTAGAACATCAAAATAATTAAAAATAAAGCTATAAAAAAAAGTGGTATGCGTTTTATTTTATGACTATCAATATTTGATTTTTAGCTGTAAACGCTGTACCACTATGATGTAAAGGGTTAATATCGAACTTCCTTTTTATTATTATTAAATGCCCTTTTTTCGTTTAGATTTCTATCAATTTTGATGAATCACTAAAAGATATAGAATACACAATGTTGAGTTTGGTATAATTTAAAATAATTTTACTTTTTAGTTCAGTATTTTTATAAATCGAACTTATTTATAGATTGATTTTAATAAATGTCGAAAAGAGAAAAAGATGTACATAAACAAAGGAATAAATAGCTCATTGGATGAAAGTGAGTTATAAATGTGTCTTTCTATATAATAACTTTTATCGATTATATAAATTATATGATATTATAAGTCAAGTGTCTTGAGCCTAGGCTCAGCATCAGGAATATATATTTAAGATAGTCTAAAATATTTTATTTGGAGCAAACCTCTTTTAAAACATGTATAAATGGTATGATATAGTGTGATCTTATTTCCAATAATTGCAACCTAATATTTATATATAATACAGATAAAGACATTTTAGCATCTTACTAATTATTTGAGAGCACATTCAAAAAATACATATGATTATATAAATAAAAAAAATAAGCAATTGTTTTAAAAAAAAATTTCCATCTTTCGTAAACTTCCTAATATTCGAAAATGTTTCATTCCATTTGTGTAAAATAACATTTTTAGAAACTGAACAACTCAATAGTATCCCAGAATTTTTGACTCACGTTGCAAGAGAAGAAATCGAAAAATTATCGGAAATATCATGCGAATGTAATGTCATATTTATAGCACAAGTAATTTACAATATTTCTATATAGATGAAAATTGCTAGATATAAATATTATTTTAATTAAATTTAATTAGAAAATAATAACAACAGATTTATATGCAATTTAAGCATTCTTCTTGTTCGTTAATGAGAATGTATTTTTATAAAATACTGAATAGTCAAAATCTTTTTTAAAAAAATAGTCATTAAAACATTGAAATTAACATTTTATATTTATTTTGTTTTAGCTAGGGTATTTATTAGCTATTCCAACGAGTCAAGAAGTTGTAAATAATAGTATGATGTATAATGGACTAGAATTAAAAGTATTACTTGGCTGTTTGCTCTACCTACTAATTTAATTAAAAAAAACATAATCATAATCTGTTAAAAATCTTAAATTAACCTTTTGCTTTAGTTAATAATAGTGAAAAATATGTAATATATTAATAAAAAGTGAAAAAATTTAAAGCATATTTATTATTCGACTAAAGAATATAATAAAAAATAAGGGGTAAATCAATTGTTTATTTATAAGATATTACAAATAATATATTCTCGTCAATTCTAACTTAAATGCAAACTCCAAAACCTTGTCTACTATTTCAAGACCCAGAAAAATATACAAATATTGGAATAAAGAAAAAATCGATATAGTTGGTAAAATGTTGTCTACCGGAAAAATAACAAATGAAAGTTAAAGATATCGCTACATATATTGGAATGTCTACAGTGTCAGTTCATAGATTTAAACGTACATTTTCAAATAAATGGAGATTCTCTAAAGGAATACACTATTCAAAATAGATGAAATAAGAAAATAAATCATCTATCATTGTTAGATATATCATGGACTTATTAATGACAAATAATACGTATTGAAATTTACCATCTGGTAGTCCCAAAAATAAGGCAACTATAAGAAAATATATAAAATATATTCTCTGTCTGGCAAAGAGCCTGACATAAGAAATACGCCTGGGCTATAAATATTCGTCAAATTTACTGTTTGAAAGTTTTAGATATCCCAAAAGAAAAATTATCTTTCTTAGATGAAACAAAAATCAACCTGCATGTGGTACCAGTTCATGCCTGAACCCCATATAATGTTCGTCCGACTATAAAGAGACCCGAAGGGTAAAAATGTTAGTATTCTTTTTTACAATTGGAATCGGAGGAATAATTTATTACAAAATTATAGAGGGAGCTTGGTATATTATTCCGAGATTCAATGCGAGAGTTTATTGATATTTTGCCACCTGATGCCATTATAGTAATGAATAATGCAAATCACTTTTCAACCTAATTCACGAGATGAAATTATTACCAATATTATTGAGCTCTTTTGTGGATTCTTTCCATATGATTTTACGAACTTTTACAATCATATGCAACAATATTGGGATCGCCGACAGCCTAATTAGATAATCCCTAATAATTAATTTATACTAATAATTTTAATTTTTACTGTTTTATATTCTAATAATGTGTGAAATTATTTTATAATATTTTGATTTTATACATTATTTTTTTATATACCTATTATTTTATCGAAATAATTATAAAATGGAATATATATCATATTTTTATCGAAATAAATTGATTTAAAGAAAAGAAACCCTAAAAAATATTAATAATTAAAATTTCATAAAAGATTTTTTATTCATAAAAAATCCCATAAGATTTTTACAAAAAAATAGTTGAGTTTTATAAAGTTAATAAATTAAAAAATTTCAGAAATTTATTTTTTTAACATAAAATATATTTTTTAAATAAATAATTGATTGTTTAAACATTATTTACCCTTTCTATTTTTCATTATATTCTTTTAATCTAATAATAAATATAACCTTTTTGTTTTTAATTTACATATTTTTTACTGTATTCTAAATTCATAAATATAGAAGCAATTATTATATACTAAATAAATAGTTTAGTAATAGACACTGATAAGATCATATTGAAATTTTGTTTCTAATTGCCGAACCAATATGTTAGAATAAGAAAATACTTAACTCGAAAAATATAGAGAGTCTATGATATTTTAAATCATCCTAAATTTATAGTAGGTTAATAATTTATCTTAATTGCTATGATATACAAACTTTTTCTCTTAAATTAATCAATTATTTTTATATATATGTAAAACTTGTCTATGTTATAGTTCGTGAACAAAAGCTATGCCCATTACAAAAATGAGAGGATGCGAAGTAAAATATATAAAATACATAAATAATCTTTCGCCTTATTTTATAATCAGAACTAGATGAAGAGTTGGGGGACATAAATAAGGATATTAATGGTAAAATTATATGCCATATTGTAATATATAAAATGAATGTGATAACTTTTTATTTAAAAAAACCTTTTAGATATTCAATTAAACATTCTTCATCAATTAGAAAACACAATATTGAAAAAATATGAATTATTGGGTATCATTGCTGATATTGTAGCAGAGTTGGATTGGTGATATTTTTAAAATTATGATTATATTTTTACAATATGTTTGTTGGGTAAATTTTAAACAAATACCCTAAATTTATTTGCTGCCCAATCATTTGAGTATAAATAAGCCATGACATTAGATACGTTTATTAAAAGTCAATAAAAAGGTTGGTATCTGGAAAGGCATCTGATAGTAAGAATATACTTCCAAAAAAGCATGATACATGGGTATCCAAAGTACCCAGTTTTCTCACTCCTAGGACAAAGATTAGGATTGGAAACCGTCTGAAGTTGTTTAGGCATGTTTAAACTCGAAGGTGATGGAATGAAGAGATGAATAAATCATTATTGCAATGGAGCCCCTATGAAGGACTAGGGCAACGTGGATAATAATGTAGTGTAAAAAATCCCTTTAATTATTATTTTTTTCAAAAATAACCCTCCCTTCCCTTCTCGGATAAATAGAAATTGAGGGTTTTTCGGGGATCTTCTGCTTACAATCGACTCACCAGAGCAAATCTGACATTTGCTGAAAAGCGAATTGATTGTTATAAATAATCAATAAACATTAGATAGGTTATTTGGCAATTTTTTAATTTTAAGGAACCGTATTATCTCAGCAAATAGGTTTTTTGAATCTCATGTCATGTTATAAAACTATTATTAAATTTTCCCATGATTTATTTTATCAAATAATAATTAATATTATTCAGTTTGATAGCTTTATCGATAAGTGCCAAAGAATTTGCGTTGTGCAAACCATTGATAACAAACAAAAATATTATATGTATCGAAAATGGAAGGTTAACTTAATTTTACTTATTTGATTGATTTTAATAAATTAATTCTATTTAGATTTTGCAAAAAAAATTATAGATATTTTCTTTCTATGGTTGCCTATCGCATTGCTTATTATTTTTAAAATTAAATTTTTTTATAATAATGCATAGGGAAAATTGGGGGTAAGGAAGGGGGTAAAAAAAGTGGTATACGCCAATATCCTATTTCTCCACAAAATAGTGCCTCAAATATTGTCAAAAAACAATATTTTTTTTTTATAAAGTAGTTGGTTGTTACTGTTTTCATAATATATTGACAAAATAATTTTTAATCCTAATTTCAGGGGTCCAACTCCAAACCGAGTATTAACCTTTTATATTTATACTCAACCTGAAACCGTTAAAAATTGCAAGTCGAGCCTATAAAAAGATCAGTGAGGCTATTTGAACTTTGTGATATCCTAAATGATTTATAGATAATTATCAATTTACTTTTTATTATAATTTATAAATTATGTATATTTGTATTTCCAATAAAAATAAAATAAGCATTACTTTATACATGGGTTTAGTGATAAAACTATAAATATGTGCTTCTTTATATTATTCTAATTGGTTTGTATAAGGGAGTTCATAACGATTTCTAGAGAGTCAAGCTGAACCGATATAATATTAATTTTTACGAGCAGAACATGAACACTATCCTATTATTTTAAGTGAACTATCCTACCTATATTTATTAAGGTTCAAATCCCTGCCTAATCTCTTACAACCAAATTTTTTTTATCTTAGTTTATGTAATATTGGCTTTTAAATCCATATTCTACCTATATAATTTTTTTTAAATTATTTTTATATATTATTATACTTTATTGGCGAGTATTCAAAGATAATTGATTTAGAGATTATACTACACGAATTTAAGATAATTTTACAATAAAAAAAGGATTTTAATAATATATAAAATTTTATGGAAGGTCCACATTATATAGTAATAATATCTTTACCGACTGTGTACATATGCCTAACATGTTTTTATAATAAAATGATTCTTGAACCCATATCTGCACTGATTCAATATGACACTGAGATCAGTTAAAGAAAGTTACAAATAAAAAAATACACTTTGCAAAAGTGTAATCTGAGTTTAAAATGCTCTTCAAAATAAAAAATCTTGAAATATTATTTATTTCGAAAGATAAAAATTATTAAAGATTTTTTTAAATGATTTTTTTTTTGAGAATGCTAAAGCTGTATCTATGATCGAATTTTACCTATAATTCCAAATATTTTCTGTAAAAAAATTAATTTAATAAAAAAATTATAAATGTTCCTTTAGGCATTTATTACAAGAAATCTGCACTACTCAAATAGTGCCAAATTCAACATATAGCACAGAAGATGAAGGAAATAATTTTAAAACTAATTCAATCATGGGTAAAGAAAATATGCTAATATTTTAAAAATAACACAATTTAAATTTCTTTAGGAAATTCAAATATGTCTTCTTCGACTAAATCTAGCTCTGTTTGTCATGATTCACAAAATATACTATATTCTTCTATAAATGATAAGAATTTTCTTAAGAATAGTCTTACTAAGAATGATTGCGAATGTGAATTAGACAAAATATCTTATTCGAATAATGGTAAAAAGGTTAAAATAATAACTGGCGCTCATGGAAGCGGTAAAAGCATATATTTGAAACAAGTAATCTTTATTTCAAATATTTATGAAAAATCTTAATTATAGAGAATTTCAGAAAAATAAAAACAAGGAATTAATTTTTTCTTGTTTTTTAAAATAATACTTTTGTTATGGCCATATCATATTTTTTAATAAAAAATGCTTTTATTCTGAGCCCTAATTATAACCCATTCAAAAAATGTGGCAAATAAAAATTTATTAAGACGAGAATCATTGTAAATGATTAGTGCTGTTAAGGGTTACTTTTTAAAAGTAAATCGTAAATAGTTACCGCTACATTATAAAAGTAATTAGTTACTTTGCAAGTTATAAATTATTTTATATATCTCATTATTTGTAATATAATATTATTCTACAAAATAATTTTGCCAGGCGAGTACGCGGAGGGAGGGGGGGGGCAAATCCCCCCACCCTAAATCCAAAAAATGCAGATGCCGGAAATATTTTTCAAAAATATTATTGTTTATATTTATATTTGTTAATATTAATTCCTATCTCATATTAAATATTTAATTACATTTATTTATCACATTCATCCTAAGTTATTTTATCAATTAATTTCGATTTCAAGTTTTCCGGCGTGATATTTACTTATTATTTTCAAATTTTTAGTGGCGTAATATTTATCTACCATTTTCAAATTTATAGTCAAATAATAATTATTTCTGAAACTCCTTGTCCAACAGGGAGAAAGAAATTGCAAGCTTGTCCAATGAGATAGAGTATTCGCCATCAAATAGTAACAGTTTTTATTGGGTTAGAAGAGCCGATTATTTGCTATTACTGAAATATCACAATGGCCTGAAAGAAATATTTTCTCAGAAGCAAGAAAATTATTGGATTCTGTGCTTATTACAAATTTTTTTTTTCAAATTAGCTCAATCCCAACGAAGATTGGATTTTACATGTAAATATATAACATACAAAATACAATTATTCCTGAGAAACTTTTTGTGTATTAATTTATATTTCCAACATTTAAATTTTTTATGTATATAAATTTTAAAGGTTCAAAAAATTCAAATTTCATTTTGGGTCATTTAAGTGATTCATATAGTGGTTATATTCACTCTATATTTTATAATTCACATTTATTTTATAGTTTTTCTATACCGCCAGTTATATCCGTTTAATATTTTTTAATTCACATTTATTTTATAGTTTTTTATATGACGGTTTATACATATAATTTTTTTATAATTTTAAAATTGTGTATTAGAAATAGTTCTTAGTTCTAATAAATTTATGCTTGATATTTTTAAAAAACAATAATATTTCTCAAAAAATTTTATTATCCACCCCCCCCCCCCCCAGACCAAATTCCTGCGTACGCGCCTGAATTTTGCCATTTTAAAGTTGTTATCAAAGGAATTTAATGTTTATTTGTACTTGAAAAATATCACAATTTTTTATTTTTTAAATAAATACAATTTATAATAACACAATATAAATATAACTAATTTTTAATATCCTATAAATTACGATTTCTAGGATCCATAATACTATAAAAACGGGAACGCTATAAGAGTTTTAGAAGTTTCAAAATTTTTAATTGCAATTTTATGTCTTTATAACTGTTATTTTTAAGAAAACACCAATTTTTTTCCCAGATAGGATATTTCTAGAATAAAAGCAAGAATTTTGAAAAGAATAACCAGATTGACCGGTTTCTTTTTCTCAGATTCACTCGTTCCTAATATAGGACCGATATAGGGTTCTAATATACCATACCATTTAAAAAAAAAAAATCTTTATCTTAATTTATTTCATTATTTATTGGATTTTCTAATGGCTGATGTAGTTTAGAGTTAATTTATTATGTATTTTGGATCAGTTGAAGGTTTATAGGAAATTTTTAATCAACAGCCACTCAGTAAACTATATTACATAATTTAAATTTACCATTTCAGAATTAGTTGCAATTTTAATGTATAGTAATACTAATATAAATAATTATATATGATATTGTTATAATTTTTTTAAATATTATTGAAACAACAGATCGGTTTAATTGTATTTATGGCGCATATTGGGAGCTTTGTACCGGCCTCTTTGGCAGAGATAGGTGTAATAGATCAAATATTTACTCGCATATATTCTTATGATTCTGTATCATTAAATTATTCAATGTTTATGATGGATATATCGAAGGTTTAATAGATTTTATGATTGAACATTATAGTAAAATGAAAAATATGGGGGGGGGGGGGCGATGCGGATTATCTTGTGAATTTGTCTTGGAATTCATAATTTAATTTGTTCTCCAAAGGGATATCTTAGACTTTAGCATTTGTATTATTTTGAGCATTTCTTTTTAAATCTGAACATTTTTCAATTATATTTTATAAAAATGAATAGAATATTACTATTTCATTTTTTTCTGAGAATTAAGAAATAATTGCAAGCTTTTATTATTATTCTGTTCTCAACTTTTAGGTATTTTTTTATGATAAAATAAAGTAGAAAAAATTTCGCAATTTTTTAAATTATGTAAACATGTTGCTTACAATTTAAATATTATCTATTTCTTTTTATATATTATTAAATCATAATCTTAGTCATTGATTTTAAAATGACATATTTTTCACTGTTATAAATTTTTAAATATTGTCAAGTGAGGAATATTTTTATTAATTGTTTTTACTTTCATATTAGTTCTTTTATACTTATTTTTGTAAATAGGTAAGTCAGGCAATAAATAATGGTACTGAAAAATCGTTAGTTTTATTGGATGAAATTGGAAAGGGGACCATTCCAGTATTAAAAATATTTTATATTCCAATGTTACAAAAATACCTACTAATAGAGAATTTATCGTTTCGAAGTGGCCCCTATAAATTAATTTTAAAAATAAGACTGGACTGATTCGAAAAATATTTTTAAATTCGGACTAAGGTTTAAAAATATTTTTAAAAAATCGGGCCAAACTCACTAAAAAAGCTATGTCGTTATAATATATATTCTATTAGTCATTTATTTAGTTTACTTTTTTATTTTTTAGACATCTGTCTAGCTTTTCTTTTTAGAAAATCCTCTTTATATGTAATGATCATTTATTATGTATGATATATCAATATTGGGTTTTATTTTATAGATCGTTAAATCAATAAAAACTAGAAGTGGGGAATGGCCAGAGGGCAAAATTATTATTGGACTGGACCGGACAATTCGTGCAAAATCTCTTTACGTGCTGGGTCGAAATTTAGAATTTTTAAAGCCTAGAATTAGACGAATTTATGTTATATTCATTCATAAAAAATCACTGGGGCAGCCCCGAACTTCTATAAAATTACTTGATGGCAGGGTTATACATGCGGTTCGGGCCGACCTCTAATACAAAATATTCATATATTACAATACAACCTGCTAGTGTTAAACGGCCCGATTTTTAAAATTGTTAAGATTTTAGCTAAAATAATATTATATAGGCCTCGAGATTTGGTAAATAGAGGTCCAAACCTTTCTGCCATCTACAAGAAAAATCTTAGGGCTTACATAATATTATTTTGGCTAAAATCTAAATGAGCCGTTTTTTTAAAATCAACCCAAATCGGAATTTTTAACACTAATGACGTGAGGGATATACGCATTCACCGACGAGGCCGCAGAAGCTTATCAAAGCCTATAATTATTTATATATTATAACCATAATAAAATTTTCAACAAATTAATAATTCCGGTTTAAATTACAATTAGGAAGATGGCTTAGCCCTGTTAACGGGTATTGTCAACTATTTTAGCGAAAAGAATCGAACGCCATTCATATTTATCATAACTCATTTTCTGGATATTAGAAAATATTTGTCTCATGCTACCAACATTCAATTCCAAGTTTTATTTGAAAAATAATTTGTTATATATAATGAAACTCTAATTATGATAACTTTTAAGACTATGGAAGTGATAGTGGATACTCTCAAAAATGAAATGATATATTTGTATCAAGTCAAAGATGGATTTGTAGAAAATAATTATCTTAAAATTTTAGCAAAAACGCTTAATTTTCCGGAAAGCATTATTGAAAGAACCCTAGAAGTATATTTGTTTTATTGTATAGGGCTGCATTAATCCATAAATTTTTCACCGAAACTAATTTTAACTAAAACTCTACCTTTTTTATCTGCTTAAAATTTTAGTTAAAAAAATTATAAAACTAAGAATATTCATTTGTAAAAATTAAAACATCTCAAAACTTATTGATTGATTTTATTTTATATGTAGCCCAAAATAAATACTTAATTATTTTCTAAAAAGAATACACTAATTCTTATAAAATATACCCAAAAGCATAATAATTTATTCGATGATTTTATTAAAAAATCGCTCCACTTAAGCAAAAAAAGCCGAATTTGTACCGGCTAGTATTAAGCCGAACATTTTTTAACCTCATCTCAAAGCTTAGCGGTTTTGTAATGGACAAGATTTAGGCATTCAAAACAAAACTCGTGGGGAAATAGTTGAAATTTATTTTCATATGATAAGTATTTCATTATTTTTTTAGTAATTTTAAGGAGTGCCATTTTTTTTTAGAAAGGAACTTAAATTTATTCTCCTATATTTTAAAAAGTTTACCAAAGTATTTTTATATACTAAACTTTTAATTAACTTTTGGAATATTATAATTGGTTAAGAAATGACCTTCATTTGCGAATATTAATTATAAGTTTATTTTAAATTAATTATTTCAATGTTTAATATTGTTTGCAATCGCCTCACTAGAGTCGACTCCAAAAAAATTTTAAGTCTCAAAACTATGCTGGAAAAAAATCATCTCGGATACCAGGTTTAGTGATCTGCATCGGGCCTAAATTTATTTAAATATAGATAAATTTAATTTATTTTATATTTTAAAAAAATATTCCACAAATAAGAAAAATTAGCGCCTTGTTTCTTACAAGAATTTTAAAGTATATCAATTTATTTGACAAAATGTAGTGATATCATATTTAATATTTTAAGCCCGACCCAGCCCGAAATTTTTTAAAAATTATTAGGCGCTACCCAGCCCAAACCGAAATACGCTAGCAATATTTAAAAAAACACATAAAATTTTGATTCTTTTTCTTCTAATTAAGGATCTATTTTATAGTTAAAAAAACTCTTAAATGACACACCAATATTCTTTATGTGAGTTATGAGAAAGGGCTGAAAAGAGGTAATGATCTTAAAATTGCCTTATAAAAATCGGTTCTTTGAAAAATATCAGACATTATGATGTAATAAAAAACGGTTATCGGCGCCGATCCTAAATTTAATATCGGCGAAGCCCTATAATTATAATTTACATTATTGTATAAAAATATATAATTAATTAATAAATAAAATGAGAAAATGTAAGTTAAAACATGCCAAATAATTATTTTTTTTAAATTTGAAGGCATAGTTTGAGGATCATCTTTAATTTAAGGTAGGCCCAGAGTTTGAAAAAATAAGCTCACTAAGAATGTTTATAGCAGGGGTTAAGGTTATAATATATTATTTTGGCTAGAACCGAAATTCTAGGAAGTTATGCATAGTAGGGTTAAGATAGAAAAAAAAATAATAAACGTCCTAAATCTTTAAGAATATCGTTTTCATCAGATTTGGCAAATGTTCATTTGCTAATTTTTGTATATAATTTGTTTCAGAATCGTATTCTTTGTTCCAAATCTGCATAATGACATAAATTGAATGATTTTTTAAAATTGGGGCCAGAAAATCAAATTTTTTCTAAACCCAGGGAGCCTAAAATTTTGATCTGCCAGTTTATGATTATAATAAAATGATGGTTAAAATTTCTCAGGCAATTGAACATGTTATTTTATTTTACTTTATAAAGATAAGTTTAATTTCCATTTTTTAATTAAAAATTTTGGGCCACTTAGGCTTCAAATTAATTCAGGAAAATTTTAAAGTCGGGCTAGGTCTTAAAATTTAATATATTTTAAACCAAGCTCAGGCTTAAAGAATAATAAAGATTTTGGGCTAAATTAATTCAGGAAAATTTTTAAGTTGGGCAAGGTCTTAAAATTTAATATATTTTAAACCACCAAACTCAGGCTTAAATAAAGATTTTGAGCTAGGCTTAGTATGTAAAAATGTTATTTGCAAAGCTCTATAAAATTATTTAGATTCATGAAAGGTAGATCAATCTTGATTTTGACAAGTAAATTGATGAATACTTTTTAGAAAAGAAAGAAGCTCTCCATATATGCTTCACTGCAGAAGATTCTCCTAAAAAAAATTTGGATGAAGATCTGAAAAATATATTCAGCTTATAAAAGATGATGTTGAAATCTTAAAAAAAGTTTGAGCAATGTTTTTTGTCTCCCTTTAAAAAATCTTTTTTTAAATTTCCCATGTTTTTTTTAATAAAAAAGTATAAAAAAAAGAAAATCATTCTTTAAAATGTTGAAGGAAAAATAAAAGATTTTATTATATTATAAAAATCACAAATTATTTGCTTAAAAACATTTTTTATTTTGCTCAAATATTTTCTTTGAGTATGCTCAAAATTTTTTTTATCTTTATTTTTGAATTTTGAGCAAATGTTAAACCCTAGGTAACAAAGCATGTGATATGTTAGTGGGTTATTAACATTGTGACTAGGCATCCTCTGTAATTTTTCTTACCAGCTATGAATTATATAAATAAGAGGTATAAGTGTAATTAATGTTTTTTTGGGTAATGCAAACTTATACAAGCAAAATATGAAAGGTTAATCAAAATGAGTGAGTTTGTATTCTTTCCAGTAAAGGTTCAGGGTTAAAGGAATATCATTATGAAAACTAAGACTATCAGTATCAACACCAGAATTGTTGGTCCTTAGATCCTGATCCAATCTATGTATAATTGATATTTCAGTTTAGAGTAGAGAAAAAATAATATTATGTTTCAAAATTTTGTTCTTGTTAACATTTTATGGCTTAACAATAGTACAGTTGTTGGAAAAACATTAATTCATTACTTGAATTAATTATCCAAATTTATTTATCATTCTTAAATGTTATGGCAAATGGATATTAAATTAATCTAATGATTGATTTATTAATAATGAAACTATTTATTCCAAATTTAACTTGGCTATTATTATTTCCCAAACATTGAATTATTATTTTCATACAAATAAATTTAATATTTTGTTTAACAGATATCAAACCATGAGGAAGATCTGAACATTCTTAAACCAAAAAATATATCACTGATTGATACAATACAGATAAGGTTAATGTGGCTGTATAATTATTTAAAAAGTATAAATTTGGATGAAAATGAAGATAATTTAAAATACCACTTAACAAATAGTTTAAATGATATATTTAGATAAAATTTCATATTGCAACTTGTTAAAACACATATAATAAAATTTTCTGATGTTTTATTTTAAATAATTAAATAATTCTTTTGCCACCTATTTGAAAAATTTTTTTAAAAGAACTATCATAATCTATTGTACGCATTGATCCCTGTGATGTAAAAAGTCAAAAAGTTCTTCTTCACATGTTTCATCAGTTCCAGGAGTTTTATTCACCCTTTCTGAACAAACTTCATACCTCTTTTTATATTTTCTGCATGCTGTATGCTGAGAGCATTTTTCACGTAAGGCTATAACTGGATCCTACATGACAATATATAGTTTGATATATTGTTTATAAAATATTATAAAATTACAGGTATTTCTCCCTAAATATAAATAAAATGATTAAATATCAATAATAAGGTATATTTTTACATCTGGAGTTTCAGCTGCCTTAATAACAAACAAACGTTGAGATATGGATGTAATAAAATTATACAAGAAAGCCATATAGAAAGGTAAATATAAAATACTTTAACCGATCCTCTTAGGGTTTATTTTGAATAATTATATTTAATTCGACGAAAAATAGGTATCACTCTTTTTTAAATCATGATGGTAAGTCGGGTAAGCCTATCAAAAAATTATTCTATTTTCATTTAATCTTAATTTAATAGGCTAATAACTGACCATTCATATCTTACAATTACATATTTGAAGAAATTTTAGAATCTAATTGTTCATAAATTTGAATTATGCGTTATACTCGATTTAAAAAATAAGCCACTGATTCGGCCATTGTAAATGTAAATCTTAACTTTTTTCCTCCACTGCCGCCCAAGGCATTCTAATGGCTAATGTTACAATGGTAAATTTGAAATAAGGTAAGGAATTGAGTATTTCAAAATCGTTTTCAAAGATTTGCAAATTATAATTATTTGAAATAATATATATAATTATTAACTTTCTAAAATAATAGGCTTAATCAGTGGTGTAGACAATGGTCAAAAAAAGGGGGAGAAGGTTTTCTTCATGAAAATATTATAGGTAAAACATGCGTTTCCTATTAATATCTACAAAAAGGGGGAATCGAAAATAGCCAAACGACTATAATAAGTGAACATAAAGACCTCCAATAAAACTTAACACACCTACCCTCCCATCCATAGGCGTAGCCAGGGAGGACAAGGGGAAATCCCCCCCTTCAGTAATTTAGCACTTTTTGTGAATATCATTGTTGTATGCTTTACAAAAAAATGCATTTCAAATTGTAATAATATTCAAACAAAAATAATGTTTTATTAAAATTATTAAGTTATTATTTAGATCCCCGTCTATGTAAATGAGATAAAACGCGTGATAATTGTAGATTTTTCATACTTTAAGAGTTTTAACAAGTGGGATGATGAACTTTTTATTTTTCGCTTGGAAGACTTTAAAATTTTTTACTTTTACATATAATTTTTTTTTACTTTTATTTTTATATATTAATTTTATTTTTCTTCTATATTAATTATGTTTAATTGATTATAGTTATTTATTTAATAAAAATTAAGAATCATATTTAGTCTATATTTTTATTTTATATTTAGGTTTTTAAGTTCACAATCCAAAAACGCCCAATTGTGATATTCATTTTAAGCTAATAAAAAATATTCACCTTAGTCCTCCCCCCACTCCCTGACCCAAAAATGTATGCATATATCTTAAACAATAATTTAAAAGAAAGAATGTAAAATTGATATTTTTTATAAAACTCTTTCATCATAATTTATAAATTTTTGGAAAAAAGCATTTTTATATATAAAAAGTTAACCAAAAATGTTTTTTAAGAAATGGAATATAAGCCAAAGATAAGTCTTAAAGATCCATAAAATTACTAAATAATATAATTTTTTATGTATAAAGTGAGTAATTTTAATTTATTTATCTTAATAAAAGTAAAATATAATTATAAAACTATTAATAAAATTAAATCATAAATTAAATAAAAAAATTAAAGCACATTACAAAGATTAGAATATTATATGTCGTAGACTTACAGTATATCCAATTTTATCAATTATCATATGACAATCAAGTAATTTTTACCAATATAGCAAATTATAAATTTTACAGAAAACTATAAAATATTTATAAGGACATCAGAAAACATCTTTTAAAGACATTGTGGGATAAATAATATGAAGATTAATTTTTATCATTTTTTATTTAAAATAAATAAATGGCGTTAAATTATTGAATCCAAATTGTTGTTATATTTATTATCAAGAGCCTTGATTAGTAAAGTTTGTTAAAATATTAACTGTAATATATTCTCTAACTGTCAAATATGTCTGTAAAAGTGGAATTTTACCTAGTATTTTATAACTAATTCTATATAATAGAGGAATATCAACTATATGTCTACTTACTTTTATAAATAAATTTCTTATACTTGTTTGAAATAAATTATTATATGCTATTATATAAATGTATATACAAGTAATTTATTATATTTTATATAAATTAATATAAATATATTTCATATTTGTTCCAGGTTATTTTTTTAATTAAAATTAACCTCCTATCTTTTAAAAATATTTTATGACTATATATAGATTAAAGTAACCCAGCCGAAGGCCGGGCAAAAGCGGGCCAAAAGCCCGTCTAAAAGGGGGTCTGAGGGCGAAGCCCCCAGTAATTTTTTAACCCCCCCCCCCCCTTAGGAAAATCATGGTTACGCCTATGTTCCCATCAATGCCTTTCACGTTTTTATATTGGTACTTTTTCTATTAAAAAAACTAAATTATCATTATTCCACTAATAACTAACAAAATATTGCTAATGTAAAGGAATTATATTTTAGCATATTAAATTGAAAACCCTCTCGTTTACAATAAATACATTATTATAGTACATTTTTGACTAAAACTTTTAAATTACATTTAAAAATATAGCCAAAAATTATCCATTAATAAGTTTTACTTGAAAAATAATGACTATAATGTATGAAATATAAAGATAGTCTATATTAAATAAGAGTAATAAATTATTCGTTGATCTAATTGCTTGGTGGTGATAAGAGTAATTTATTGGGCAAGGGGTTATCAATTAAATTTTAAAATTAAATAGGACAAAATATATTTCTATATACATGACAAAATATTCCCTGGGAGTAAGCCTCTCTCAAAAACCTATACCTATCACCCCCCCCCCCCTCCAAAAAAAATTACACATTTTGAATTACACACTTTTAATTATAATGAGACTCTTCATATATTTTAAATTTTTCAATACTCTATTACCAACTATAAAAAATATGAATACAAATGGTATGCCAATAAATATATTTAAAATATTTGCCAGAGTAAATAACACTCCGTACTCATACCAAAAACACTTAATCAGCTAAAATCAGAGCACATAAATTATTTCTTGTGGAGTCGAATATAATAAGAACAAATTTGCTTATAAACAAAAGTCTTAGAACTCTTTTGCAATATAAAAACTTATAAAAAAAATTATTTTTATTGGGAAGTAAAAAAAACAATGACAATGCCAACTTATTGCCATAACTTTGGCCTAAAAACTACTTTCTAATGAAAAACATTTAACATGGCTGAAAGCAAAGTAGTTAAAAATTGTATTTTTTTTTCTTATGGAATAAAATAAATTTCCAATTATTATATTAGACCCAAAGATCTTAGAACTTCTTAATACTAAAACCTTTTAACTGGGCATAAAACAGGTATTTAAAATATTATACCTTTAGAAAAATATTTTTTTTGTGTAAAAAATGCCAATTAATTACTAGATCCAAAGGTCATCGAATTTTTTTCTAATACCAAAATCTGTTGATTGGGCTCAAGCAGAGTATTTAAAATTATTACATACTATTTTTATTTTCCGTGTTAAGCAAAAAAAAATGTGCCAATTTTTTACTAAACTATTTGGTTTTGGAGTATCTTTCTAATATTAAAAACATTTAACTTGATGAGCCTGCTATTGAACCCATTAAATCATGTTAGATCTGATCCATGTCTCAATTTGCCCTCAAATCCTTTAGAAATAATATTCATATGGTTTTAATGACTTAATAAATTTTAATTTATAAATCAATTTTTATTTTGTATCAAAATAAATTACTACTATAGATTCCCGATATAAGTGTGAATTTACAAATAGCAGTCATTGTACTAGCGAATAATTATGAATTTGAGAATCGCATTACATTGGCAATATTTCTATAAAGTTACAATGGCCCTAAATTTTTTAAATTTTTGGACTAGCCCTAATATTCCAGGGACGACTTGCAAGTTGCAAGGGTTCTATGCAGTGTTCCATTTAAAAAAAAATAAACCTACCATATTTTTAAAAGGGAAAGACCTATAATTTTTCCTAAAACTATTATGGTATTTATAAGGTAAGATGGAGGAATAATGGATTTAGTAGTAGGAATATTATAAGGGACGAAAGGAAGCATAGCATTGGTGTATGTGTACATCATATGCAGAGAGTATTGAAAAAAGAATAACCTGGAGAAGAATGATTACAAAGCTTGGATTTGGATAATAGGGAAGTCAATATTGAGACAGTAGAATTAGAGATGAGGGAAACTGATGAAATTTTAACATAAAGGTTCCATAAATAGATATTAATAGACGAAAGTGTAAGGAGAATGAATAAGGATATAAAAGAAAAACGAAGAATAGGATATGGAGAAATTCAGATAAATAGGGGATATATAATATATGGAAATATATTTAAGTGACAATTAGAAATGGAGAAAAACAGAAAGAACGTTGAAAAAAAATAGTGAACACATTCATTCATTAAATCACTTTATATTTTTTAGTTTAATTTGAATATATAAGAAAATTACCTTATATTATATTTGTGAGAACTAAAATATATCAATTATACAGTCAATTAAGTATATATATAATTTTGTAGAGCCTAGTTTTAGGTATATATAATATAATGAGCCTTTATTCTCATTTATCACCGCACATATATCATATAAGGTAATTTTCTTATATATTCAAATTAAACTAAAAAGTATAAAGTAATTTAATGAATGAATGTGTTAACTATTTTTTTCGACGTTTTTCTCATTTTCTAATTGTCACCATATTTTTCTATATATTACAGGTATATTAGAAAACTTGCTTTCATACTTTTTAGAAAGTTGTGATGAAATATTAAATATGCTAAATTTAAGAATTTTAATATACTTTTCAAATAGATCTAGATACTGATACATTCACTGAAAATGGATCTAGTATGGATATATCGTATTAAATAGTATTTAGATAGCCACAATAGATTTTATAATTAGTGTGCATAAGGCTTAATTATAAGATTATTTAAAATTCAAATTTCCAAGTAGCTAAAATTTATCGAGCTGATATCACATTTATATAGAAAAATACATAATTAAAATAATGATTTAGATTTTAATAATACATATACAAAATTATTCTAAATAATTTTTAGATATTAATAACTAAACATTCTCAAAATTAATCATTAAGGCACCTCCGTTTATCTGTAAAGACATTTTCAGCCAT